TATCTCTAAAGTTCGTATCTCTAAAGTTGGTATATCTAAATTTGGTATCTCTAAAGTTGGTGTTTCTAAGGTTGGTGTCTCTAAAGTTGGTGTCGCTAAAGTTGGTGTCGCTAAAGTTCGCGTTTCCAAAGTTGGTGTCTCTAAAGTTCGCGTTTCTAAAGTTGGTGTCTCTAAAGTTGGTGTCTCTATAGTTGGTGTCTCTAAAGTTGGTCTCTCTAAAGTTGATGTCGCTAAAGATGGTATCGCTAAAGTTGGTGTCTCTAAAGTTGGTGTCTCCAAAGTTCGTGTCTCCAAAGTTCGTGTCTCCAAAGTTTGTGTCTCCAACCCCAGTTGTCCATTACGTTGCAGAACCAACCCCAACAGCCCCTGGCTGTTGTGTGTTTCTCAAGGCAAATTACATCCAGTAGTTTGCCACTGCCTGCTGGACGGTCGGCTTTCTTGATACCACTGTCGAAACCAACGCAAGGCGCATTGCCCGCAGCTGGGATCGAACCTGGCATTGAAATAAATTATAAATAAATTATGCAAATGAACTACTCTCATCTAATCCTGTGCAAGCTTCAAACTCTTCACCGATATCTTTGCTACTAATAGTGGATAGGAAGTTCTGTGATAACTATCTGTAAATAGCTTGAGCTTTTCAGCATTATATTGTGAGATCCACTGTGTGCTTTAAGTTGAAGGTCAATAAACCAGACCTGTTTTAGAGTTTCTATTTCTTCCACAACTTTATTTCTTCAAGACGACACAACAGATACTCATTTGGTCACATTCAGTTCCCTACAAACATCTGTTGTCTTCAGGACCATGTCTATGGTGGACTTGAACAAGCTATACCGCTTGGACAAATCAGTTTCCCTGACTCTTTTTCTCTTATTTGTTACCCAGAATCTCTGTCTCACATTTGTCCCCCAAAATCTCTGTCTCACATTCGTCCCCCAAAATCTGTCTCAAATTTGTCCCCCAGTATCTCTGTCTTAAATCTCCCCCCCCCCCCCCCCACCCCAGAATCTCTGTCTCATATTTGTCCCACAGAATCTGTCTCACATTTGTCCCCCAGAATCTGTCTCACATTTGTCCCCCAGAATCTCTGTTTCAAATTTGCCACCCCGGAATATCTTTTCTCACATTCGTCCCACAGAATCTGTCTCACGTTCGTCCCCCAGAATCTGTCTCACATTTGTCCCCCAGAATCTCTTTCTCAAATTTGCCCCCCGGAATCTCTGTCTCACATTCGTCCCCCAGAATCTGTCTCACATTTGTCATCCAGAATCTGTCTCACATTTGTCCCGCAGAATCTGTCTCACATTTGTCCCCCATAATCTGACTCATATTTGTTCCCCAGAATCTGTCTCAAATTTGTCCCCCTAGAATCTCTGTCTCAAAGTTGTCCCCCAGAATCTCTGTCTCAAATTTGTCCCCGAGAATCTCTGTCTCAAATTCGTCCCCTAGAATCTGTCTCAAATTTGTCCCCCAGAATATGTCTTAAATTTGTCCCCGAGAATCTCTGTCTCATATTCGTCCACCAGAATCTGTTTCACATTTGTCCCCCAGAATCTGTCTCAAATTTGTCCCCCAGAATCTGTCTCAGATTAGTCCCCCAGAATCTCGGTCTTATATTTGTTCCCCAGAATCTGTCTCATGTTTGTCCCCAAAATCTATATCTTGAAGTTGTCCCCAAAATCTGTCCTAAATTTGTCCCCCAGAATCTCGGTCTCAGTTTCTATTGTGATTTTCTTCTTCTCTTCTTTCTCGGTTTTCTTTAGCGCCATTTTAGAAACGATACACGATATCTGAAAAACAATTTGAACTGTCTGTCTGCAACTTCCTCTGCGAACAGAAAACTAATTGGATTGTTGGATCATACAAATACCAGAATAGATAAAAAGCAAATACCTACGCCCAGTCTGTGCAGCACATACCGCTGGTTGTGTCGTATCACAGATCATTACAACAATAGTAACAATAAACACTCTCATATGCCCAGTGTTGGCGTCTGTGGCTTAGGCGTTGCGAACATACTTCGTAATGACGGGGTGCCGGGTTCGATCCCAGCTGCGTACGGATTGTCTTGAGATGTTTTCCACAGTGGCACCGATAACTGACCGTTCAGGAAGCAATGGCAAACTACTAAATGTAAAATCTGCCTAGAAAGCCATAACAGCCAAAACAAATAGCTAGGGCTGGTTCCGCAACGTCCTGTAAAAGGTTGCGCAACTAATTTTAACATACGCAGTGCATCGCTGTTCGTATACTGAATCTATGTTCGTTTGTAGAGACAGACCTGGGATTGGGGGGGGGGGGGGGGGGGGGTCCTATCTCAAAAAGTTCATAAGTTGAGATACTACTGTACCGACACCGACAATGAATTCCAGAGAAATATGACTAAAAAGCTCAACAAAATAGGAAAAAGGAAAACGTGCACAAAACAACACAACGTAACGTTTCGACCGGGCGGCCTTTTTCAAACAGAAGTGGACTACACAAACGAGGAATGGAGAGTATGTAGATCTCTAAGGGGTGACGTGAGCGACGTTTAAAAAATGTGATGCGGAATAAATGAAATAAAATAAAATAAACGATGGCTAAAAAATATAGTCACAATGCTGGGAATAAAAGAAATGCAAGTGTTAATGATACATAAATGATATTGATAAGAAATAGAATATGGTAATAATATGAAATAAAATAAAATAATTAACATTTAAAATGTAATAAGATTAGAACTATTTAGATGAAGGTATGTTGGATATTGATACCTCTTGGACTAAGAACGCCAAGGCTGTGGATAAGGCGATTTTCCAAAGCGAGGCGGGTAGTATGATCGCCAGAGCAAGATTTTAATGCTGTGACAGATATGTCATCTTTACCGCTGTGGTCAGGGCTATTAAAATGAAGAGGGATTGGTTTGAGTGTCTTCTTGTCGATATCAGAGAGGTGTTCCCGGAAACGATCAGCTAGCTTTCTGCCAGTCTCCCCAATGTATGCCATGCTGCATCGTTTGCAGATAATTGCATAAATTACGTTGCGGGATTCGCAAGTAAAAGGTTCCCTAATTTGAAAAGAACCATTAGGGAAACTGACCGAAGAAGTCTGGACAACGAAAGGACATGTTTTGCAGGTGCTGCGTGAGCACTGAGTAGTCCCAAGAGGAAGTGCTGTATGGATCGGTGGGAGTCGGCTTCGGACAAGTATGTCTTTAAGGTTGCGATCTCGTCTGTAAACTAATCTAGGTTTCTCACTAAAGATAATACTGGTGTCCGGATCAGAGCGGAAGGATGTCCAAATGACGAAAGAATACTTTGGAAGCAACCACATTGTTAGGGTGAAAAGTCAAGATCAATTTAGGTCCCTCATTGGTGGAGTTACGTTTGGTAGGAAAAGCATCTCTCCTAGTGATTGCTAAAACTTTGTTTAGAGCCCCTTGTAGAATGTGTGTTCCGGATAGAAACGGGCACGGAAGAATTCAAGAAGTTCAACTGATTTATCAAAGAAGTCAGAATCGTCAGAGCACAACCTGCGCAATCGAAGGAGCTGTGAATATGGAATAGAATTTTTACACGGTAGTGGGTGAGAAGACGTATAGAGGAGATAACTGTGAGAATCCGTGGGTTTGTAGTAGGCTGTGGTTTTCAGACACGGGAAATCGATGCTAATCGTGATGTCAAGAAAGTTAACTGAAGTGGTGGAGATCAATGAGGTGAATTTGATAGCCGGATTGAAATTGTTGATGTAAGTAATAAATTGGTCAAGCTCAACCATGGACATTTCGGTGATACCATTTCGTCATTTGGACATCCTCCGCTCTGATCCGGACACCAGTATTATCTTTAGTGAGAAACCTAGATTAGTTTACAGACGAGATCGCAACCTTAAAGACATACTTGTCCGAAGCCGACTCCCACCGATCCATACAGCACTTCCTCTTGGGACTACTCAGTGCTCACGCAGCACCTGCAAAACATGTCCTTTCGTTGTCCAGACTTCTTCGGTCAGTTTCCCTAATGGTTCTTTTCAAATTAGGGAACCTTTTACTTGCGAATCCCGCAACGTAATTTATGCAATTATCTGCAAACGATGCAGCATGGCATACATTGGGAGACTGGCAGAAAGCTAGCTGATCGTTTCCGGGAACACCTCTCTGATATCGACAAGAAGACACTCAAACCAATCCCTCTTCATTTTAATAGCCCTGACCACAGCGGTAAAGATGACATATCTGTCACAGCATTAAAATCTTGCTCTGGCGATCTTACTACCCGCCTCGCTTTGGAAAATCGCCTTATCCACAGCCTTGGCGTTCTTAGTCCAAGAGGTATCAATATCCAACATACCTTCATCTAAATAGTTCTAATCTTATTACATTTTAAATGTTAATTATTTTATTTTATTTCATATTATTACCATATTCTATTTCTTATCAATATCATTTATGTATCATTAACACTTGCATTTCTTTTATTCCCAGCATTGTGACTATATTTTTTAGCCATCGTTTATTTTATTTTATTTCATTTATTCCGCATCACATTTTTTAAACGTCGCTCACGTCACCCCTTAGAGATCTACATACTCTCCATTCCTCGTTTGTGTAGTCCACTTCTGTTTGAAAAAGGCCGCCCGGTCGAAACGTTACGTTGTGTTGTTTTGTGCACGTTTTCCTTTTTCCTATTTTGTTGAGCTTTTTAATCATATTTCTCTGGAATTCATTGTATTAGCTTGACTGCAGTCACCCCCATAGTTTCACCGACACCGACAATATATGCATTCTTTACATTTAAGAAGATGCACAAACTTTTCAACGAGCACTGTCGAACTACGACCTCCTGTACTCGCCGCCAATTTGAACAAGCCTCCATGAACCCTCTAGTTCCAGCAGCCCGAAAGTTGCACTGCATCGACATCACAGATACGGGTCGACAAGTCCTGGCAATGTACCGCACAATGGAAGAAATTCAGGTGAGTACCAGTAAGTGATGTTGAATAAGGGAAGCCAGTCATTGAGAGAAGCTCTGTTCTCGTTGCTTGGATGGCGTCTCAAAGTTCAGACAAGCCGTCTTTAGATGGTCAGTTCTACAAATAAATATTTGGTTTAATTATTATTTGGCTAATAATAAACTGGAGGTATTTTTTGCTAACAATAAACTGTAGGTAAATTTTGATAATAATAAGGTTAGTTGCGTATCCTTTACAGGACGTTGCAGAACCAACTCCAACAGCCTCTGGCTGTTGTGTAGCTTTTCTAGGCAAATTTACGTCCACTAGTTGGCTAACAATAAACTGGAGGTAAAGTTGGCTAACAATAAACTGAGGTCAGTGTGCTCCAGCGGTAATTAAACACAGCACACGTAACTGGTATGCTTGTGTGTGCTGTCCATCAAGAATGATGATGACCACTCTTTTCCATCAAGTATATGTAGGAAGATGACTGATGAGGCCGATGCGGGCCTGAAAAGTTCTTGGACAGTGAGGACAGGGAATGAGCGTTGTGCCAGGGAGGGGATCTCCTGTCCATCATTTTCTTAATAAGTCTTTGCTGTTCTGTTTGCTTCACATGTAGCCGTGTCCTTGTGTAGAGCTGCATGCCATGCATTTCTGTCTTGAGAGGCAGCCTTCCAATTGGTGTCATTCATCCCAAATGCTTTGAGTGAAGACTTCAAGATGTCCATAAAGCGTTTCTTTTGCTAGCCTTGGAAACGTTTCCCATTTTGCAGCTCATCAAAGAAGAGTTTTTTTTTTTGGGGCGGGTGGGGGGGGGGGGGGGGGGGGGGGGGGGGGGGGGGGGGTGGGGGGGGGGGGGGAGTCTTGTGATGATCTGGCATGCGTGCCACAAGACAAGCCCAACGAATTTGATACTGCATTAGCAGAGTGTGCATGCTGGGCATGGCTGCTTTCTCAAGGACTACGGTATCAGGTACTTTGTCTTGCCATCTGATATGCATTAGTTTTCTAAGGCAGACTGTGTGAAAGTAGTTTAACTTTCTAGCCTGGCGCTAGTATACAGTCCATGTTTGGCATGCGTGCAGCAGTGTAGTTAATACAACTGCTCTGTATACTTCTTAAGCTTCTTAATTTAACACTCAGCATTCTAAAAGTATCTGCGCGCGCGCGCACGCACACACTCACACACACACACAAATTAGAAAGCCTAAACAGGGACAGTCGGCTCTGTGGCTAAGTCGATGCGAACGCTTCGCTTCGTAATGCCGGGATGCCAGGTTCGATCCCAGCTGCGGGCAATCCGCCTTGCGTTGGTTTCGACAGCGGTATCAAGAAAGCCGACCGTCCAGAAGCAATGGCAAACTACTGGATGTAACTTGCCTAGAGAAACCACACAACAGCCAGGGACTGTTAGGGTTGGTTCTGCAACGTCCTGTAAAGGATACGCAACTAACTTTAAACAAGGACAGGGGAAAGACTCGCACATTTTAAAGCGAATAATTCGACCACAGTCTTTGTCAACGGACAGAACAACAATGGAGGTTCCCCAGGATCAAGTGAAGACTGCAGCACAACATTCATATCCTGATAAACTTTTTTCAACAAGGATCGATCAGAGGCTGTGTGCGGTTTTCAGCAGGCACGGGAAACTATAGACGGAGTTTGGATTATTTTACACCTGGCACTATCAGAATAGGGAACTTTGTTGACTACTAAAGGAGGAGGACATGTGTGGGGGGGGGGGGAGGAGGGACATGTGTGGGGATTGGGGGAGGAGGGACATGTGTGGGGATTGGGGGAGGAGGGACATGTGTGGGGGTGGGGGAGGAGGGACATGTGTGGGGCGTGGGGGGAGGAGGGACATGTGTGGGGGGGGGGGGGGGGGGAGGGGACCTGGAGTACAATGACGTCAATTCTGAATTCATTCATTCATTCGTTTATCAGTTATTCTTTTGTCTTTCATGCATTTAGTCAATAATTTATACATTCATTATTTCATTCGTTCTTCCCTCAATTCATTCATTCCTTAATTAAATTATTCATGCACCCATTTCTTCGCTTATTCCTTCTTTCATCCATTCTTTTCTTCGTTCCTTCATTTGCTCACTCATTCTTTCCTTCGTGCACTTCTTCGTTTATTCATTCCATCCTTTTATTCATTCATTCAATTATCCCTTCATTTATTCATTCACCCTTCATTCATTCACTGATCAATAATTCATTTCTTCTTCATTCATAACCCATTGTTCCTTTATTATTACTTTTTTTTCATTCATTTACTCCTTCTTTCAATAATTCTTATATACATTCCTCGATTCAGTCATTTTTTCATTCATTTCCTCATTCATTTACTCTTCGCGTATTCATTCTTCAACAATGGACTAAGCCACCGACAAGGTAAATGTGGAATACAAAATCAGTTATAAGATCAAATATTGACAAGGGAGATTTTTTATATAGGACAAGACATGGGACTCACAGCCCATGGCCATGGCGAGTGTGACTAACAAGACCCACCCGCGTTAAGAAAAGTTTTCCACAATTAGAGCATGGGATTTCAAGACCATTGTTGTCAACATTTGTGTTTAATCTGTTTCTTCTCAAACGCTCAGCTCTCATCGTTTCTGCAATCATTTCTTCCTTAATCTCAGCCCCTTTCTGATGTGCCCCTTCCACACATGGCCATGGCACTTTGTTCTACGAGTCCACCTCAATACCTGTATCATTCATGCAGCAACACAAAAGTACAAATGTCTTATAGAAATCTGTCCATCAATAGGCCAACACCGAGGTCTGGTCGCAGTACAAGGACAGACTCGTCTACCAGAGCTGTGGTCCACAACCCAGCAGTCATCTAGAGCCTTGTCAACCTGGAGCAAACTTTAACTTTGATGGATTTGCTGTTAGATATTTCAAATCAGGAATTCGAAATAGACAGTAAGTGTTTGTTTTATATAGGAATTTACACACACACACATACACACACCCTTCCACCAATCTACACACACATATATATACACATAACACACACACACACACACCCACCCACCAACCCACACACACACTCACACCCAACCACCAACCCACACATATACATCACACACACATCCACTCACCACGTGTAATGGGAGCCTGGGAGCTCTTCTAACCTAAACGTGTGGGGGGGGGGGGGGTTGTCGATTCACCACACTGACTGTGGAGGGGGGGGGGCTAGAGCTTTACCACATTACCACATGGAGCGTGGTGGGTGGGGTGGGCAGGGGCTCTACCACCTGCACCACCTGGAGCGTGGTGGGTGGGGCAGGCAGGGGCTCGATGTGCCCAAGGTGCGTTTTAGGGGATGAGAGAGCGAGTGTGATTTCAACGGATCATTCCCCCCTCCTCCCACCACCCCCCTTCCCGGGCCCTGGAAATTGTCAAGGGAATGAAATGGTCTCCCAAATATGTTTTGACGTTCTCTTTTAAAGTATTTGTTGTAACAATTTATACTATTTCGCATATATTATATTTTACCCCATTCGATCAAATATATATATATATATAATTGCAGTACTACTGTTGTGCGCATAAACAAAGCTAAAGCTCCTTAACGACACCTCACCTCGTAGACAAATAAACGGCTAACCACTCCACCGACAAAACTGTTTTTGTGTCAGCGCCATTGACAGGCGCATTTATTTGCTTTGACTTGCTGATGCGCACAGGCGTACACAGATACACCCACACACGCTCGCGCGCACACACCCACACGCCTTGCTGAGGGAGGCGTTATTACTTTACGATCTAGAAGACAAACAGATAAGTCGTTGACGGCTCGGCCTTCTGGTGGAGGCGAGACAATAGCATGCATTGACTTGATTGGCGGACCGTGTCAGATCATTCTTATCGACAGGGCACGTGATAATGATGAATACTAATACAAACTGGTGAACTAATTCTGACTGACGGCGGTGTTCAGGTCAAAGGTTATTAGGTTGCAGGTCATCTGAGATAGGTCATCTAAAACAGGTCATCTGAGACAGGTTATCTGAGACAATCTATTTTATTTTACCCCACCAAGACATCACACAAGCGATACACACCTGATGACACAAAGTGCCACCATGTGAACGAGGATCACCCGTGGAGAGGTCCCAGAAACCGCGTTCAGCCATTAGACCATATTTATGGCCGGGCTTTATTGCGGCCCTTGCAAGAGCCAGAGTAGGGCTTCAAATAACGAAAAATTGCATCTCACAAGGAGATAACTGGATTATGTTAACTTGACTTCTACTGGGATGATGTTGCTGTAGAGACTGATGATCCCGACTCGGTACCAAAGCTTCGACTTCCCGGGGACTTTTAAAAAACCTACCTGTCCCTCGCGAAGACTAGAATACAGTGGGAGTTTATCACAGGATATAGTCATATGTTTATTTAATCATCTGCTTCTCCACCTCTACCTCCATCTCCGCCTTCTTCACCACCACCAACACCTCCTCCGCCACCGCCACCACCACAACCTCCTCCTTCTTCATTTTTTTCTTTTCCTCTTCCTTTCTTCTTCTTCTTCTTCTTCTTCTTCTTCTTCTTCTTCTTCTTCTTCTTCTTCTTCTTCTTCTTCTTCTTCTTCTTCTTTTTCTTCTTCTTCTTCTTCTTCTTCTTCTTCTTATTATTATTATTATTATTATTATTATTATTATTATTATTATTTCGCGTTCACCGGCTTTTAACTCTAGCAACAACAAAAAATAGCTCCGTATCCCCTGTCTAGACTGATGGACATGTGGATGCAGCCTGAAGCTGCAAGAAATAAACATTTCACTAAGAGGACAAGACGTTTCATTAACCAACACAGAACACGCGTCATCAGTCGTTTTACACTTGTGGTGCTTTACTAGGAGGAGATCGAAGCACCTATGGATATGTCCGGAGTGCTGTGATGATAATCCTTTCTAATCGCTAAAAAATGTGGGTGTTTGTCTACCTCTGGACTTCTTGTCTTGTTTCAGAGCCTGTGTGTTGCCTGCACATAAGTTTTACACAAACAGTTTATTTGTATGCAGATAACACATTTATTTCACCAGCACGGTTGTGGAGATTTTGGGTTGGTGTATGTGGCAGACGGTTTTATACATTTAATGCCTGTGTATAAAATATAGCTTTGCCAACAGTTTCATATTTCAGTTTCAAAACTTTCCATTTCAGGCTGAATGTCTGCTGAAATAAAAAAACTGAGACTTTAAAGCCGGAGAAAATATGTTCTTGGTTTTCTTGAATTTCCACAAAGCAAAGATGTAACACACACACACACTCTCTCTCTCTCTCTCTCGCACGCACACGTGCAGACGTGCGGGCGCGCCCACACAGACACACGCACACACAGCTGTCTATTTACCAACTAGTCATTATGCCTAAATGCGAGTAAATTACTTGTCCCATCTGATAAGAAAAGCAAATAAAATAAACATATTGAAATAATTATCCCAAGACTGAAATATGTTTCTAGTTGTTCGTGTTCTTACCAAGGTTGATGTAACAACCACTGTCTGGCTTTGATTAGTTCTGATGTTTCCGAGAATGCTTCATGAGCTAGAAGACAACAGTGTTTACAGACGGAGTCAGTCGAATTTAGTGGCGCTGGCGCAAATAAAACATTGAGGCGGAGCGGGGCGGGGTAGGGACGTCGCCTTAAACGTTTTCTGAGGGGCTAAAAGGAACCTAAGCCTTGCTTAAGTGTGTAATAATTATAATAATCTGCTGTATGGCAAACACATTAATCAACATTAGCAGATACTTAAAATCATAACTATTCATGATTAGTCGTGTAGTACTCTATACATGCTCGGTTAATACGACGTTAGTCTCCCCAAATAGAGTAGGTCACTGTTTATTCACACGTGTGTTGGGCTGGTCGACTTTCATGAAGGTAACGGGTGCGTCCGGCTCTGTTGTTTAGTTTCTGCGATGTCTTGCATTTACGTTTTCATTTCTAGAACGAGAATGCCTGTGACTTAGGTTGCAGAACTCTGTAGGGGGGTTGTGTGAGACCAGTTTCTCCGTGTTTTTAGAGTGTTAAAAGCTCCCGCGTGCTGAAATATACAACACGTGATATCAACCGCATTGTGGAACACCCCCGTAACCGTGTGCGAAGATCACATGGCTCAGTAACTACCAATCAGAAATGAGCTAGTTTGTAAATGGGCGGGGTCTGGAGAGACTAAGGTCGAACTAACCACAGATTCTCAGACTCCGAACATTTGTATGTGACACACGGAGGCTGGGTTTGGGTTGTGGGGGGGCTCAAATGGACCCCACGAGATTACATCTCTTGTCTTCATGCGTAGCAATTAATGTAACACAATCAATGTGACGCAATCAATGTCACACAATCAATGTCACACAATCAATGTCACACAATCAATGTCACACAATCAATGTCACACAATCAATGTCACACAATCAATCAATGTCACACAATCAATGTCACACAATCAATGTCACACAAATAATGTCACACAATCAATGTCACACAATCAATGTCACACAATCAACGTCACACAATCAATGTCACACAATCAACGTCACACAATCAATGTCACACAATCAACGTCACACAATCACCGTCACACAATCAATCAATGTCACACAATCAACGTCACACAATCAATCAATGTCACACAATCAACATCACCCAATAAATCAATGTCACACAAATAAACATTTCATAAAAGAATTTTAATAACGTTATAAATTTCAGGAAAGTTATGAATAAATCAGGAGTTCATGTTTCACCAGAATGTACTCACTTTATAGAGACCATATCGTGTGGCTCCGGTACAGTTAGAAAACTATGACCTACAACAGAATACAATGACATTGTCGACCCAGCCTTGAGTGGGTGCCAAGTATAGTCCTGGAAAGTAAAAGCGGCCGGCGTGATGTTGACCACATCGCCCACTGAGTGCCGATTGGTCTATAAAATATAGGTCTGGCCCTATAGGCCCACTACGCTTGACGGCACCGAAAAGGGTCCTTTCTGGAATTGATCCTGTGCTAAATGTTAGGAACATTTCGACTCCAGCGCATTCATGTTAAGAAGATCTCCTGCCACTCGTGGTGACTGTACACTAGGCTGCCAGGTTCTCACAGTCACATACACGCCACGAAACTGACAAGACTTCATCAGCATCTGAAACAGTCACATACACGCCACACAACTGACAAGACTTCATCAGCGTCTGCAGTATGTGCCCGGCTAATAAATCTAGGCCGATCAGGTCAGTGTTTTTTTCCCGCCCTCGCCAAAACCCCAAAGCCATCTAGGAATTATATAACTGTCTCCCCCTTGCTTCTTGTCCACCAGTTTTCCTTGTTACACCATGTTTGGAATACACTCCTGTCCATTACATGTTCACAACATACCTGTCTACCTCGCATTTCTCTCATTAGATTATGGTGTTTATCTGTTTAAAGGGCCCGGCTCGCTAGCGCAGTTGGTTAAACCTAGCTTTGCGGTGACCGGGTGACGAACTCCTTGTGGTCCGGGTTCACGCCCGGGGGTAGGCAGAAAAGCCACATTGCTCCCAGATTTACGGTACCTTTTATGGAATCAAGGCCGAAGGGTTGCGATATCCATAGTACCGAGCCAAAGGGTTAACAACTCATGGTTTATGGATGATTTGAAGGGGAAAAAAGTCTGTTTCCAGGAGAAACTACTTGATTGTCCTCTACAGATCAATGATGTTCTTTGCACTCAATGCCTTCTGTCAGTACGTCATTAAAAAAAAAAAAAAGTATAGAGAGAAAGGTGGCACACTCTCTGAATTGCAATTCTGGTACAAAAACCAGACGAAAGGCAAAATTCTAACAAGCACACTAACTAGAGACCTACCTATAAGACTTGATTCCCGTGTAGAGTCAAAGGCTAGCAAACAATAGAACAGCCAGACTCCTCCTGGTATCGCAAATATATGGGACAAATCTAACTGACATTCGTTTAGCGCGCTATACATTGGATGTTGATTGCTCAATTAAGAATCCACACCAGATGCACTTGGGACACTTCCATAAGCGCTCCGTCCCCATCTTCAGCAGCAAGCAAAGAGTCCTCCGGAGTAAGAAGACGAGCTAAAATTAAAAATAAAGAAATCAGAAGACGACTTGGACTGAAACCAGCTATCCAGTTTTTTAAAGAGCAACAAATGAGATGGTTAGGCTATTTGGTATACCTCGATAAGTGGGAGTAAGTGGGAGGGGGGAGGGGGTGGGGGAGAGAGAACAGATGGGGGTTGGGGTGGGGGGACGAGAAGAAAGTATATATCAGAGGGTCGACAGGTGCTGCAAGTTTACAAAGATATAAAACTATTGAGGAAGACCAGTGATAATGATTGATTCAGTCGTTTACCCCTATGTGTGTGTGTGTATGTGGGATGGGGGGGGGGGGGTGCATGAGTGTGTGTGGGTGTGTGCATGTGTGTGTGGGTGCGTTCGTGTGTATGT